GAAATAAAGGGAGGTTGTGGGGCTGCTCTATGGGTCTCCAGAAAGGCATGTGGGGAATGGAGTCGTCTAGAAAACACCCAAGAATCAACTCCATGTCACAGATATGTTGGCACATTAGAAAATGAGTCAGGAATAAGTCCAACTGCAAAGAGAACACAAAAAAATAACAGTGGCTTAACACAAAAAGCTGTTCATGTTTGCATCACACCTACAAAGACGAGAGGACATGTCCCAAGGCCAACAGAGTGTCCCTGCAGCCTTCAGAGGTCCAGGCTTCTCGGGCCCTGAAGCTTCCCCTTAGCCCCGTGGTCCAGGAGAGGAGCATCTGCATTTGAAGCAAGGGATGGTGGAGGAAGAGACTGAAAATTGGGCAGAGAGGTTGGCTCTTAAGGAAAGTTCTTAGAAGCGTGAAACAAGGAAGTCTGAAAGCAGGCTGCATGTAGCACCTATATGCACATTGTATAGCCACAGCTGAATCGGCCACGGATGAAAAACAAACAAACAAACAAACAAACAAACAAACAAACTCAGCTTTTGCCTAATTCCAAGCCAGTGTTTACAGGTTTTCCAAAGACAGTAACCTCATAAGAAGCAGATTATACCATTTTTTTTTTCCTGGATGCTTTTTATGTAGGAGAAAAAAAAAGGTGGCCCAGCAAGGCTTTAATAAGAGCCTTCTTGGGGCGCCTGGGTGGCTCAGTCAGTTAAGCCTCGGACTTCACTCAGGTCATGATCTCACGGTTTGTGAGTTTGAGCACTGCCTCGGGCTCTGTGCTGACAGCTAGCTCAGAGCCTGGAGCCTGCTTCGGATTCTGTGTCTCCCTCTCTCTCTGTCCCTCCCTTGCTCATGCTCTGTTTCTCTCTCTCTCAAAACATAAATAAACATTAAAAAATTTTTTTTTTACATAATAACAGCCTTCTTCTTACAGAGGGTTCCAAAACCAAATATTAAAAACACAGACTTAGGTCACTATAGTGAGCAGTTATTTTTATAGACAGTTTTGAGTATCATCAGGGTGTTAGAATTGATGACAGAAATCTTATGATAAAACATGTGGGTGGGGAGGGGTGGAGGGTACTTAGGCAAAAATGTCTTTAGGAATTTTGTTAATACGCTAATCTAATCCCAGCTAAAACCATCCAACCTCTCTATTCCCTTCATTGTTCTAGGGTTGTTTGTTTAAATGCAGGGGTTAAAATTAAACTTAAATTTAAATGCAATTAACTTTAAACTAATTAATTAATTGAAATGTAATTAGTTGGATGAATAATTTAACGCAGAGATTAAAATCAAAATGTACTGTTTGCTCACCTCCACTGGTTTCAAAGTGTGGTCCCCACCAACATTATTTGGGGAACTTATTACAAATGCAAATTCTCGGGCCCCACCCAGACCTTCTGAATTCATCCAAGGGATTCTGGCTCACAGTAAACCTTTGGAACCGATACAGTACAGTGATCCCCATCCCCAAACCCCCTACCCGCCCCCCCATCCCATCTTCCCGCCCTGGGCCTCACAGGCACATTACAATCACCCAGAAAACTTGGGAAAACCCCGCTGTCTGAATCCCATCCCCAGGGACTCTGATTTGATTGGTTTGGGTTATTTGTTTTTCGGGTATGGATGTGTTCTCAGGCGTGGGGATTTGTGAACGTTCCTCTCGCGAGACTATGAGAATACAAGACCGAGAACTGGTTGCTCCAGCCAGCTTTGGTGGTCTGGGCTTTTATGGCCAAGTAAAGCCACTCAATGCAACTGTATTCTAGTTGTGAGGGACACATGTCCCTCCCAAATAAAGATGTTAAGAGTAGTCATTTCTTCTCTGTCCCCTCGAAAGCTCCCTTTGACCCGGATCAGGAGGATGGAGTTGCCCAGACCCCATTAGCCTGGGGAGGTGCTCCACCAGATCCCATCTACCTTCTGTATTGCATCTCTGTGGCTTTTCTCCTTCTTTCCTACCTAACCTGGAGTTCAGGTCAATTGTAACAAAACGAGTCAGATTGGGATCCATACTTAATGAGTTTAGTCCAAGAATTCGGTGGTGGAAAGAACATTGTAGATATTGTTGGCGAGGCAGAGGCAGATGTAAACAAGAGCCGGGGTTATTATGCTAGCAAAGTTTCTGTGGAGAGGCTCTTTTTAAAGGAGCCCCAGATGAGGACAGGATGCGTTGAGGCTTGAGAAGGCCTGAAATTTGTGGAGGACTCTAGAGAAGAGGTAGGAAGGGTGGTAATAACGAATACTACCTTGCTATGATAATTAGGATTTCAAATTATAATATATTCCCATACTACTGTTGCTTTTTGAGGCACCAGAGTTCTGTTCCCCACATTGACTCCATTTCTACCAACCAGCACCATTAAAACCTTTCTACATACATTTATGTCCACACTACAGTTTTTAAGGTTGGGGGCCGGGTGGAAGGGGTGGCTGAGGAGTGGGAAGAGGAGGAAAGTACTTTACACAGATGGGTGAGGGGGATGGACACACCATGATGCTTTTTTGTATCAACTCGTTAAGTAATAACAATCATTTGATTACTAAGACTAGTCAAAATGCAGGGCATCTGGGTGGCTCTGTGTGTTAAGTGTCTGACTTCAGCTCAGGCCGTGATCTAAAGGTTCATAGGTTCAAGCCCCACATGGGGCTATGTGCTGACAGCTCAGAGCCTATAGCCTGCTTCACATTCCATGTGTCTCTTTCTGCCCCTCCCCCACTTGTGTTCTTTCTCTCTTTCAAGAGTAAACATTTTTTTTAAATTTTTTATTTATTTTTAGGAGAGAGAGAGAGAGACAGCGTGAGCAGGGGAGGGTCAGAGAGAGAGGGAGTCACAGACTGAAACAGGCTCCAGGCTCTGAACTGGCAGTCAGCACAGGGCCCGATGTGGGGCTCGAACCCACAAACCGTGAGATCATGACCCAAGCGAAAGTCGGACGCTTAACCGACTAAGCCACCCAGGCGACCCAAGAGTAAACATTTTTTAAAAGCTGGAAGTGTGAAATGTTTTGCAAAGGGTAAATACCGACTGACAACAGAATAAGCTTGTGACCCAGTCCCCATCAAGGTTTCCCCTGGGCCATAATATTCAGTCAGACAAGAGAAAGGATCCAGGCCAATCATTGGCCACTGGCATTTTCACTTAATGATTGACGAAGGGAAAAAATCATTCAGGTCCCTCCTCTGGGATGAAGGGAACTTGGAACTTACACCTCCCATGAGAAAGAGACAGAAAGTTCCTCAAAGCAAATAGTCTTTAAGAGAACCTGAAATATGCAAATACAACACAAGTTGTTACCTAAGCTCCTAGGGAAACTAGGTCTGCCCTTTTTTTTGGGCATTCTGAGACACAAGAAGGGACTGGAAACCTAGGGCCCAACCCAGGGTTTCAAACTACAACTCTCAACCTGATGACCAGTTGTGAAATCAAATGTGGGTGAGCCCAGCAATTTTTTTTCCTAATAAAATATAAAAGAGAAAATTACAGTGTATTGCTCATCATAAGTACCATTTCAGGAAACTTTTGTCCATATTACCAGGACCTGTTAAGGCAGATCAGGGTGGATGCAGACCCTGAATTAGAGAAGGGCAAGAGACCCCTTAATAAAATCATAGGGATCAAAAGGAAATAAGGAAAAATACCAAAACTGGGCTGTGCCCCCCACTCCAGTGGGATTGGGAAGAGAAAGGAGATGACTATCTTTTTTCACTGGAAATGAGGTCAAAAGCAGACTCCTGAACATGTCCCAACCCAGCCCTTTCAAAGCAGATGTCACCTCAGAAGTGGCTGACTCAGTAAATTAGAAAAACACACAACCCTACAGGACCTGAGTGTCTTGAAGGGGAGCCATCGTGAGCACATGAGTCTGATATGAGAAATTGTCTCCAACTGTGCAGTGGTGAGAGAGGCACAAGCTTCAGGCGGAACAGAAAAGGACTAAGGCAACTACACAGGAAAACATCAGACATTTCAGAGATTTAACTGCAAAACATCTAAAATTCTCACATCAAAAAATGGATTCAGAAGCAACCTGAAAAACAGTTTTTGGTGAATATCTGTCCATAAGTTAATGTGGTTGATAAGAATTCCCACAAATCAAAAATCAGCAGTGGGGAACTGAAGTTCAGGCTCATGGGGAGGGGTTCTTCTCGGGGTTCTTCTCAGAAGGGTTTGGCATGGAAAACTGCACCCGGTGGGTGGAAGGCCAGGGGTCCAGTCTTCTCAATGGCCACTTCCATCGTTACTCATTTCCCTAATTCCCCATTCCTTCTTTACTCCAAAAGTTTCAGAATCTTAACAGCTTGACATTGTCTGAGCCTGTTGGCACCTCTGTGCCTGCCACATACCTTACCCCTTTGACAACCACACAGGAGGCCAATTCCTGAAATGAGCAAAGGGCGATTCCCATTAGAACAAACATGAATCACCATTAACTAGAGATACCTCAAAGTTTTTGTGTTTCAGGAAAACTTAGGCAGCTGTGTTTGGGAGAAAACAAAAACGACGCGTACTTCTTTCCCAGGACTTTTGTCTCTCCCTGAAACTTCATGACAAAATCTCACAGCTAGCTGTTTCCTTCTTTCCCAGAGAGCTGTCATTAGGAATTACAGAAAAGGCATAAAATAATGAAAAAAGCATTGTTTCTACCCACAAAGCATTTTATTTAACTTCCAAACTAAAATGACCTATTTATATTTAGTACAAAATAAATGCACAACATTGTCTCTGATCATCGCAGCTACTTGGCGGAGAGGTACAAGTATCCCCCCACTTGAAGACTAGGAAAACTGGGACTTAGAGCACTTAATATCCCCTAAAACCTCATAATTCTTTAGCTACAAAGTCTAAAAAAACTGTTTAGCTGCAAAGTCTGCAAAATCCATTTTAAAATCTGCAAAAACCTTTCTACTACAACACGTTGTCTCTTTCTGGGTCATTCTGCCCTTTCTCCGGTCAAAGATCTCATTCACCTCTAAGAAAGCTAGGAAGCACCTGAGTTTCTCATGAGCAGATCTTCAGGGAGGTTCCACACTCATTTTCTCTAGGCAGCTCAGGACAGAAGAACGGACGCAATGGCTCCACGCATGAAAGATGACTGTGTGTATAGATGAGGGCATTACCTCTCACATCAAAAAACTTGATTTCTTCCATCTCAACATCTAAGAAAATTCCTACGTGGCTAAGTTCAGGGCTCGCAGGAATTCTGGTTTCTGGGATGGAGCCATTATAGATGGTTCCGGCCTTCATGCTGATAAACCAGAAGCCATGTTTAGAGAAGAAACCGTCCTTTCTCTTTCTGTCGACTGATTCCTTGCAGATCCCCAGAGTCCATTCCTGCCCCTTTCCCACTTCAACCTCCCAGTAATGACAGCCGGAGGAGAAGCATGGGGTGCCCAAGACACAGGCCAGGTAGGTGAACCTCTGGGGATCTTCCATTGGGTTGTGGCAGATCCTCCCACACCGAACACTCTTGAGGTCATCAGAGAGGATGAGGAAGGAGTGGGCGGTGCTCGGATCCAGGGTCATATCCTCCTGGAACCTCCGTAACTCACTGCTCACATGCAGACTTTTCTCCAGCAGGGCACTGTGCTGTGCAAACAGAAGGGATAGAGCTCCAATTTGCCATTCCTCCAAAGGGTTGCTGTCGCTTACCCCTCGACACACGGGGCAGCTCAATTTCAGCTCCCTGTGTTCCAGCATCCATTTTTCCATGCAACGAAAGCAGAAAATGTGTGCGCAGGGAAGCAAAATGGGGCTGAAGAAAATTTCCAGACAAACTGGACAGGTCACCTCTTCTTGCAGACTTTGTGCCATAGTGCCTGAAGGCCACTCCTTGGCAGTGAACGGAGCTGAAGTGGCCCTTTATTACCTTCTGAAAGTGAGCTGGAGCCTTCAATACACAATCGGCTCTTCAATGATCAGGATGAACCTAAATCCAATACGAACAATAGCATGAATCTTTCTGCAGTTTACGCAGAAAAGCAGCACTACAGTCACCAGAGAATCATAGTAAAAGCACTATCTGTGAGGAAAACAGGGAATCACATACCTGTGAGAAAAGCGAGGTGATCACAAACGAGAGAGAGAGACAAGGATAGTGGACATGATCGTTTCCAGTGGGGCGGCTGACCTTGTGTGGAGACACCCAGATGAAGTCTTCTCTGCTCTGACCACAGCTTCTCTCAGTGGGAACTGAGTGCAGAGAGGTCTTTAACAAGATCTAGGAGTGCAGCATCCGCCTCTAATCAGTATCTCTCTGTAGGTCACCTGCAGTTCAAGAAAAATAATTTCCATAACTAAATCCAACCATAAAAATAAGGCCAATCCGACTCCAGCTGTCACAGAAAAGAGGCTCTAAGAAGTCCTCAGCATTTCAAAGAAAACCACCACACGTGAGTAAAACTAGAGAAAAACCACTGCCAAATGGAGGAAATACCCATTACAGAACCAATTTTAAGGATGAAGTGTCATTCGGATGAAATGCTTTAAAGCACTCTTAGAAAACTAAGAAAAATAAGGCTTGAGTGAGTGTGAATAAGAACATAACCATCGTCACCAACTTCTCTAAAATAATAATGTCTGAACACAAGCCAAAAAGGTGTTCCTTACAAGGAAGATGCCCTCCAGCTATAGCATCCACCAGCTCCCCCCCAGAGCTTACTGGAGAGACACCACCTGGGCCTTCCTACAAAGGCTGCATACTTTGAGTGCGGGCTTGGAGCAAGCTGGGTTCCTAACTCAAAGACGGCCCCGTTTTTAAGGCCAGTCAGTGCCAGTGAGATGGTGTGAACAGAGGAGTCTTCTTGAAAAGGGGCTTCTACTGAATAACAACACAACTTCTTTGAACATCCTGGAACACATTCCCTCATCTTCATCCAACAAATACTTTCTAGGAGCTTCCCACACTCCCATCCTTCACTAGACTTTGGGGACACGGATTTATATAACAATAAACGGGGACATGTGCCTGCAAGGAACTTGGAATCTTTAGAAACATTCCAATTCCCAGATGGCAGTCCAGTCTGATGGGGCCTGGCCTTCCTGAGGCACCTGGGTGGCTCAGATGATTAAACATATGACTCTTGACTTCAGCTCAGGTCATGATCTCACAGTTCATGGGATTAAGCCCCATGATGGGTTCCACAATACTAGCACTGACAGTGAGGATCCTGCTTTAGATTCTCTCTCTCTTTGCCCCTTGCCCACTCATGCATGCTCACGCTCTCACACTCACTCTCTCTCAAAATAAATAAATAAATATTAGAAACAGAGAGAGAAATAAACCTCTTTTTTAAAATCCCCTATCACGCTTTCCAAAAACCTGAACTTTTTTTCTTAATGTTTATTTTTCAGAGAGATAGACAGAGCATGAGTGGGGGAGGGGCAGAGAGAAAGAGGGAGACACAGAATCTGAAGTGGGCTCCAGGCTCTAAGCTGGCAGCACAGAGCCCGGACACCGGGCTTAAACTCATAGGCCGTGAGATCAGAGCCTGAGCCAAAGTGGGATGCCTTTTTTTTTTTTTAATGAATTTTTATAGTTTATTTTTGAGACAGAGAGACAGAGCATGAGTGGGGGAGGGGCGGAGAGAGAGGAAGACTTCCCAGGAACCCCCCAAAAAATCTGACTTTCTAAGGCAAATTGAATATGGTGCTTACAATCTAAAAGAGCTTGCCCAACCCACCTTGGTATATATACACGAAAAAAATTTATAAAAGAAAAAAAATGCTACATTTGTAAAAAGTCCTTTTTAGCGTTATCTATGACTCCAAATGATCAGAAACAATCTAATTATATAAATATAATGAAATGATTCCATTACTTATAATATAGCTATTAAAAGTAGCATTTCTTAAATTCCACATTTGAGTGAAATCATATGGTAATTTGTCTTTCTTTGACTTATTTCACCTTAGCATAATACTCTCTAGCTCCATCCCCATCATTGCAAATTGGCAACAAAATAAATGAACATGGTTGGGGGAGGGGAGAGGGAGGCAAACCAGGAAACAGACCCTCAGTGAGAGAACAAACTGAGGGTTGCTGGAGGGGAGGTGGATGAGGGGATCCGTTAAATAGGTGATGGGGATTAAGGAAGGAAGGCACTTGTGATAAGCACTGGTTGTTGTCTGTTAAGTGATTAATCACTAAATTCCAACCTGAAACTAATATTACACTGTATGTTAACTAAATGGAATTTAAATAAAAATTTGGAAAAAAGAAAAAACAATGTATTTAAATAAAAACCCAGAAACATCTTTAAGACATAATGCTAGAAAATAAAAAGGAACCCTTTTAAAATACATACATTTGTAACTGAAAACACATAAAAACACATGTATGCAGGGGCACCTGGTTGGCTCAGTCGGCTAAACGTCTGACTTCAGCTCTGGTCATGATCTCAAGGTTTGGAGTTTGAACCCCAAACCAGACTCTGTGCTGAGAGGGCAGAACCTGCTTGAGGTTCTCTCTCTCCCTCTCTCTCTGCCCCTCCCCAATTTGTGCTTGCTCTCTCTCCTCTCTCTCTCAGAATAAATAAATCTTAAGAATATATATGTATGCAAAAAAACTTTAATAAAAAACACATATGTGTATAAAAGCCACCTGAAGTTAATATGTAAAAATTTAACTAGCAATATTAGAGTAGAAGGTGGAAAAAGTTCCCCGACGCAGGATAGGATCAGGATAGGATAAGACTGACTTGACTCCTGAAATCTAAAGATAAAAGCATTTAAAAGATAACTTGTTCCCAAGAGAGAGAAATGGGACAGTGGAAATAGCACAGAGGAGACTACTTACACTGATTTGGAAAACTGCAGCCATCTTGAAGATCCAAAGGTCTACACCTCCACCTCTCCTTGCCTTAACTTCTCTCTGAAGTGACTGAGCACAGAGATTCTGGCCTTATAAAGTTCCTGGGACATAGTCTCCACCCACCCGCAGGGCAGGGTCATTGTCTCCACCCTAAAGACTGGTTATCTCAACCTAATCAAGTACACTCAAGAAATCCTCCTGATGGGTGCGAGATGTTGGCTCAAAGCCACATTCAGAATTTTCTAGCAGTTATCTTCTTTGAGTTAAACTAACAGACCTACTACCATGCAAATGAGATTCTCTAATTTAAGAGAGCCCAACTTTAAAAACCAAAATATTTTGGAGATCAAACACCGAAATGCATTGTTGAAATCTAACGAAGTCTTAGCTGATGTTATTATTGGTGTTATCATCTCTGAAACTATCCTGAATGAGAACAGGATCTAAATCTGGGGCGTCTGGGTGGCTCAGCTGGTCAAGCATCCCACTTTGGCTTAGATCATGATCTCACGGTTTGTAAATTCGAGGTCCCCCCTCCCTGCCACTCAGGCTCTGTGCTAACAGCTCAGAGCCTGGAGCTTCCTTCAGATTCTGTGTCTCCCCCACATGCAAGCTCTCTCTCTCACTCTTTCTCAAAAATAAATAAACATTTAAAAAGAAAAAATACTCTCTGTGTCTGTCTGTCTCTCTCTCCATCTGCCCATCTCTCCTATTCGCACTCTCTTTCTCTCTAAAATAAAAATTAAAAAAAGAAGTAAAAGCAGTAAAAGTCATAATGAAGGAGAACTATGACACAATCATCAAAACAAGGGAGTTGAAAGGTCAATGACTTCCGGTAGTGGAGGGAAAGTAAGAATAAAGCCTCCACCTGAGATGCACACAATCTGAATCACCTCCCATTGCTCAGGATTCCTGCTCTTGCTGCAAAGTCAATTGAACAGCTTTCTCTTCCTTTTCACCCCGTTTCTGTCTCCATTTCCATGAGTTAAACATCTATAGCAGGGTGGGGGTGTTACATTTAAAAAAATAAAATTTCATCTAAGCCTCTTTCCACTCTTAAACAAAACAGAAAATCCCCCCAAATCTTTCTGTTTATAAATATTATATTTCAGGGGTGCCTGGGTGGCTCAGTTGGCTAAGCGGCCAACTTCAGGTCAAGTCATGATCTCACAGTTCCTGGGTTTGAGTCCCACATCGGGCTCTGTGCTGGCAGCTCAGAGCCTGAAGCCTGCTTCAGATTCTTGTCTCTCTCTGTCTCTGACCCTCCCCTGCTCACATTCTGTGTGTGTGTCTCTCTCTCAAAACCAAAATAAACATAAAAAAAATTTTATACTTCTCCGCATTTATAGTATTACAAATGAAAACTGCCAACATTTCTAAAGATTTGTTTAACATATTTGAAATAATAAAACTATTATATGGTAGCATAAATAACATGACTTTATAGACAATAATTATTTTCAAAAACAACCAAAAAATTACAATTTGTTGGAAGAGTGTCATGCTTTTGCGTGTTTGAAAACCTCTCTAGTTCCTAATCAACAAATACAGCTGCTTTCTCACATCTGCTTCTGCTCCATCTGTCACGATAGGTTGTTTTGGTTGAACCCTGTAAAGAATATTTGGCTCCTCCCAGATACTTAATTGGAAAAGGGAAGTCCACTGCTTCTCAACAAATTTCATAACTCCAAGTAGCAGCTCCAAATCTTAGTTTCTTGGCAACCAAAAGCCCCAATGATGAACCCAACCATCTTTTTCGTGTGGCTTCTGGATTCTCAAAACTAATTCACATGATGTAGCCAAACATGAAATGTTGTTTTCTTCCTTCTTCCCCGATCATAAAAGGTTCTTTTCTTTTTTTTCTGCTTAAACGATTTAACTGCAATAATGATACCAAATCAGGTTTTTCTCTGTCACTAACATCTACCAAGCCCTCAACAGAGCATGTAGCATGAAAAGCATCACTGCTCATCGAGCATTTTTTCAGTCCGCTCTAATTGTG